GACTGTTAAAAATTCAGCTTTGCATCACAGGAATAAATTGCATTTAAAATGAATGTAAATAGAAAACTGTTATTTTAAATTGTAATAATATTTCCCAGTATTCTCCATATTTCCCTGTAATGTTGGTTTATGTTCAATCTATTCGGGAGAGCAGTAAACACATAACACCATATATTATTGAAGCATAAGCGTCGACAACTTTGCAAACACCCGAATTTAGAATATGCCCATTTCTTTAAGATCACATTAGCTTAAGTCATATCACATTAGTCTTTGATGTTTGTCCTGAACAAACAAACTAATTTACAATCATGAGACAACGTTCACCTAAAAAAAAAAAAGTACCTGAACAAAGTTCAGCTCAAACAAACAAAATACACTCCAATAACTATAGCGTTAAGCTCAGACAGCAAATAGAAAGCTCAACAAAGAGATCAATCATTAGACATCCCTTTTCAGACAAGTAAATTACTTTATATTAGCAAAGACAATAAACTCTGAATTAATACAAAGTCAGAAAAACAAAAGGCAATTCTCTCAAATGCAAATCATAAAAGCCCAAAGGCAGTTACAGATGACTGTGCAGTAAATTATGATGTTTACCTTGGAAAAGAGTCCAAAACAGGCTAAATTACTGATGATGCAGTAGGCCTCAGGCAGACGAGCCCCCTTCCCATCAGGCTAATTAAGAAAAGAGCAACGACAAGAGAAGCAAGCTTTCAAAACACTACAAAACACTTTAACTGCATGTGAGTGAGAGTTCTTTGGAAAGAGTTGACCTTATCTTGTCTTTTCATGCATTACAAAATAACTAAATTTCCGAAGAAAAGGTAAGTGGTGCTTTCCCTGTTGCTAGTGTTGTTAGTGGGTTGCCGTGTAAGATTAACACATAGGAATAGGGATTTATTCGAATGAGTAATGGGCAGTGATGAGTGTGCGCATAAATAACAGGAAGTATCACTAATGAGCCCAGTCATCATTTACCAGTAGCCTCCTACAGTATCCATTCTTCCTCGTTCCATCTACATCTGTAAGCACGAAAGAGAATGTTTCACTGTGAAATAGAGAAAAAGAGAGACAGTGAAAATACAGTTTCTGCCTCCACAAGGCATGCTGGGAGAAACGATGCACGTGGTTACAGTACCTGGGATATTCTGTTAAGGGCGCCCAGTTTACACCCTCTGGGAAGCAAAAGAGTGTGAGCGCCTTTAATGTCTTCTCTTCCTCCTCCTTCTGAAATCGCACCATTCCATCCTTCTGTACTCAATAGAAAGAGAAAAAGACAAATGGAGAATAAGACTACAAAAATGCAAATGGTCTTTTTCATTCATATAGATCTCATTAATATGAGAATGACAATGAATGAGCTATATAAACTTTTTTTCACACACATATATATATATATATATATATAATGTATTAATGTATAAATATTAATTGAAATATTTCTACAATGCAATTATATTTTCTGGGATTTTATCGATAACGGTAATTAGATGATATTTTGCTGAGTGTGTTATTGTGCTGATATCTTAAGGACTACCGTGGACAGCTGACTCCTAAAGTTTTTGATATTCTGCATATTCTGTGTTGTGATCAGTTCACAGCATTTAATCTTCCATTTAATCACAGAAATTAATCTTTTCCAATAAGTTTAAATAGATTTTTACCTTTTATGGGCCTTTTTACCTTTATAAGGCCATTTCTAAAGTGTGCATCATCTTTTCAGTCCAATTCTTAAATTGAATCGGTCAATTAGAATAATAAGTCATTTGGGCTGTTACCAAGCAAATGAAATCAGTATTGACAAAATTCATCTTTGCAATGCAGAGGAAACACAGAAGCTGCATTAGAAGTGGCATTTAGATGCATTTACACACTGTTTAATGCAGGACATGAATGCTTTAACCTGCAGTTACAAATGCATAAAACGTTGAATACTGATATTTGAAATTTTTTGATGGATGAAATGGTTGATTCATTCAGGAACGAAACACAGTCATGTTGCTCAGCGATGCAAATTAGTTTTTTTTCAAAGTCGAATTATACTTGTTGGCGAAATAGAGCAAAAACAGTCAATATTGTGTCTAAAACGTAAGTATCTTAATATTAAATTCTTGTTTATTGAACTGCTGTATAAAATCAATATCACATTTGTAACCATGCTGTTTTTTTGGTGAAAAAAACCTCAGTCTTCGTGTGATACTGATGAACTATATGACATATGAAACTATATGAAATGTTAGGGTTAACCCATATACATATATACGTTTCTGCCCCCATATCTTGAATTTTGTGATCATTCTAAATGCATTTTAATAAACTGAATCATGCAGTGAAAGAACACGCACTGGTCTAACCTACTAGACTTCCTATTGCCTTAGCTAAACTTTAGCTAATTTACATGCTAATTTACATGCTAGCTCTCATGCAGGGTCATATTAACCATAGGGCTGAAGCCCCGGGGCCCAGACAAGGAGGGGGCCCGTGATTGACTGTGAAGAATATTGACTGGCCAACGGTAACGCCGATCGCCAAAGCCCCACCATGCCCCCCACTTATTAGCGCTATTATTTAGTGGAGCTTTTCCATAAATTCCATGCATTACCATTAAGAGATTAAAATGTCCTGTTTGAATTTGGTTTACCAATCAAATGGATTAATTCTATATTTAACATTTTAACCACACATGCACGGTGATCGCTGCGCCTAATGTCTGCATTCACCTCTCTTCACTTTGCTCTGGCGTAATCTGGGAATGGTTATGCAAAGAACAAACTTCGATAAGTAAAAAATGTCAACTATTCTAAAGAAAAAAACTGAGGAGAGAGGGGAAACCATGAGTTAGTCAGTAAAATCCCCAGCTATCAGGTTATTTTACTAAAGCTAATGATGGAGTGGAACACCAAGTGGACTGGGCACATGCAGCAGATAAAAAGACAGCGTTGATGTCTATGTGTGCACGTGCCTGTTGGATTGGTCAACTTGACGTCATTCACCATAATAATCAATGAATATTCAAAGATATGCAAGTGTATAACTTGCTGTTGTAGACGCACACAGTCAAAGTGCTCAAAGGTTCGCAGACCGTTCTAAAAATGGCGGATGGCTTACGTATCGCGGCCCATAGAAACAGTCGCTAATGAGGCATCTACGTATGTATATGGTTTTGGGTATTACATTATACATTTTTACTATAACTAGTTAACTTATTTCATCTTCATAAGAACTAGGCCTATGTTAAATAATAAAATAAAAAAAATCTAATAAATAATATATACATTTTACAAAGGATATTTACATAATATATGCACGACTTAACCTATCAATTTAATTTGCGTTAAAATTGAAAAAGTTTTAACATGTTACAATAGATACACTTGTCTGTTTTAAAAACAAACAAAAAATGTATAAACAATAAATCCTTTTGCAAGATATATATTATAAAAGTTCTGATGAAGTTCTTCCAAACAACCAAATTTTACTCCAAACTTAAATGTATATAAATGTAAATAATGTGAATTAAGCATTTACTAATTCATTAAATGTAATGCAAGCATTAAAAAATGTTGTTGAATTGTTATTGAATGTAAATAATGCTACAGAAGTACTGAATACTTTCTGAAGGGCTACATGTGGCTGCATGCAGAGCACAGGGTTCGTATGTGTCACCTTAGGGAACTGATAGATGATCTGTGGCTCATATATCCCATCTTTGGTCTTTTTAGGCCGAACCACCACCAGATATTCGAAGAAAAACTGCCCGCTAGCGTATCGCTGCTCCTTTGCCTTTTCTTCCACGTTAGAGAGCTCTGTGCTAGCAGGCAGATCTGGTTCCTTACCAGTTCCTACAAAACACACACACACACACACACACACACACACACGTTAGCTTCTGTGATGTTTACCTCTTTTTAAAAACAAATCAACACAAATGCTCTGGAACCAAACTGACACTGTTTCCAGTCCAATGAAGAGGATATACTACCAAACCAACTGTTTATAAATGTTTGATTTCTGAACAATCTAAAAATGTTGCTCTTCAGAAAGAGCACTTGAAATGCTGATCAAACAGGGAATGCTGAACCACGAAAAAAGTACAAACAAATTAATGATGAGAAAGACGGAGCTCTTCTGTGAATTTCCTTAACATTTCCTTTTGAGCCTGCTTTTTGGCAACCTCCCCCAACACAGAGCAAACAAAGCCGACAGGAATACCATAGGAGTCCGCTAGGTCAGAAAGTCTTGTTCTAGCTTGACTTGCCTCACCATGGAAACCTTCAATGTGCCTTTCTATAAAGGACAGAATAATAACTGCTGCTTGTAACTGAAAAGACAAGACGTGCACTAAAGGACTGATGCAGATTGTGTGCTTTGACTGACTTTGTGAACCTCCTTGTGACTTCATAAATGAATTGTAAATGAACAACATCTTACAAATATCTTGAATTGGAATATTTGAGCACAAAACTGCAGTTTGAAAGACTAATTCGTTTAGGCATTTTGCCCTACTTACACTACGAGACGAGAATGAGTCATGCTGAAATGTTTTGACAAGGTTAACTACTTTTATATGCAATATA